CCTTGCATTCCGACAGGTAGCGCGTGAAGAGTCGAGCCAGAGTTTTGATGATAACTGGCGGTGCATTCTTCAGATGTTCCGGTTTAACCCTGTCGAGACCGGGTGCTGTACGATTCTTCACCGACTTGATGGCGTGTCGGACTTCGGAAGAGAGAACTGAGGGGACGACGTATCCATCCTGTTGCAGTTGATAAGTAGGCAGATGGACATGGCTATCGAAGAGATCCGAGTAGAAGTCGTGGATGACTTTCTCCATTGCCCTTCGGGATGCAGTAACTGTTCCATCCGGACGTCGGAGGCAGGTCATCTTGGTCTTGTAGCTGGCAAAGCTTCGGCGGGCATTGCGGATGCTCCTCCCAGCCTCTGCTGCTTCAGCTAATACTGCTGCTCTTCGCTCCTTGAGATCTTCCTTTATCGCCTCTCTGCATAGCTTCGCAAGCTCGGACGTGAGTTGGTGATTGCCTGCAGCTCGTGCGGCTCCACGTTGGCGTATCAGCTCGAGAGTTTCCGTAGACAGACGTCCCTTGGTGACTTTCAAACTCTCTGCCTTCCTGCCACTCAAGGTGTTCAACGAGCCGATGATATTCCTCGTCGATGTTTTCGATAACGGAATCCTCCCATAAGCTGACAAGAGAAGTGAAGTGATCCCAGTTGATGACTGTCCTGGGGCTTCGCTTCCTGAACTTTGAGGCTCTCTCAACACGCATCGAAAAGTGGAACTTTGCGCGGAGGAGACGATGGTCCGATCCCGTGTAGAACTTCGGAACAACAGCGACGTCGGTCAGGCAAAACCTTCGATTGAAGATGATGTGGTCTATCTCGTTATGGAACTGTCCATCAGGTGACTCCCAAGTCCAACGAAGGTGAGAGGGCTTTTGGAACTGTGAGTTACCATGGATGGTGTTGGTCGACATGATAAACTCCGACAGTCTCTCACCCTGCTCATTCCATTCCATTCCGTGAGTACCGATGTGAAGTTCTTCAGCCGTTCTTCTTGGGCCAATCTTAGCGTTGAAGTCGCCGACGATGACCTTGAAGAAGGTATGATCTTCCCTGTAGAACTTCTCCAATTCCATATAAAATGCTTCGTGTTCCTCCTCGTCGTGTACTCGATATCGGTGAGTTGGGGTGGGCGTGTCACCGGAAGTGACGTGCACTTGATAGAAACTATGTGGATAAGCTGCTTCCAACATACATCGCTGGCTATCAGCAAAGCATGCTGGCAACAGCTTATCCACGCACTTCTATCAAGCCACTTTTTTTTTTTTTTTTTTTTTTTTTTTTTTTTTTTTTTTTTTTTTTTTTTTTTTTTTTTTTTTTTTTTTTTTTTTTTTTTTTTTTTTTTTTTTTTTTTTTTTTTTTTTTTTCTTTTCAACTTTAATTTTTTTGCGGTGTGATTCTTTTTTCTTCTTCTCGTTTTCTGTCGACTTCATGTCTTATTGTTATCCTAGTGTTGATTATCATTTTCTGCGGTGTGTGTGTTATCAGTATTGTCATGTTCTTGGTTTGCTTTTACCGTTGGTTTCGTATCGGTACTATATAATATTTCAATTGTGAATAACAAGTATTGGGCCGTTGGCGGTGGGTTTTTTCTAATATTTCCGTACGCAGTCGGTACTTGCAATTTTTTCGCTATCAGCACGTCACTTCACGGTGACACTAATCCCTCTAACCAACCCTCGATGTCACGATCTGAGCATGTATGAATACAGTAGCACGACCATACTGGTCCCAATACGAGGCAGGAGCGAACCACATACTCAACCTCCAAATATTCCTGTTCCGGTTGTCGCTTCGTACCTGCGAAGTTAATGCGCCTATGCGCTGTTGACGAAAGACACCTACACGCCACGCGCCTCTTGCTGTGCATTTCCAAAACAGTCTTCTCAGCACGCGCGTAAAACAGGCGTTACTGTCGTCCTTCTACGCTCGTCAGCCGCATCACCGATCGTACCTGATCTTTCTGGCCTGCATCATCAGATCTTCGATGTGAGCTTCGGATGCAAGCGTTCGTGCGTTGAAAGTACAGATCGCCATCTTAGTCCTTCTTCGTTTAGGCAGCCTATCCGGGCCCTGAGATTCTAGCAGCCTCTCCCGAGCGGTCCTACCCAACGCTGCCGTATTGGGGGCTCCCTCAGGTTCAGGGGAATGAGGCCCATCCATCATTGCAGTTTCGGATTAGCTGCTCCAAGGCCTGTCGTGCGCACTGGATACTACCTCCAAGGTACTTTTACCACGCTCCCTCCTGGAGTCCTTCCTAGCCCCACCACGACATCCTGGACGGACAAGGGCTACTTTTCGAGCGGCCGAGTCCGCCTCCCATTCTCCGCGCACTGAATGCTTTGCTGTGACCCGACGCAGATATACCAACCGTACACACCCAGACCACCACACACCATGCATGCATGGATACGCCTGAGTAGAGACAGCTAGAAGAGGAATCTACAGTCCAAAACAATGAAAAGGTGAAAATAAAGTTGCATTGTCAAAGGACCGACCGTTAGCTGGTGGGACCTACGGCGAAACCCAGCTGGAGTCCCCAACATTAAGCATCGTGGGTCGGGGATCCCATCGCCTCCCCAACATTCAACATACGGCCCAAGGAAAAATACGCGTCGTCGTCAACGTGTTAAAATATTCTATTTTGAGTGTTCATCTCAAAAAGGTCGAATTAACCCTATGATTAATTTATTCATGTATTACCTTCAAAAGAAAAACATGCTATCGCTTGTAGCAGAACAAGTGTGCACATGAGGACCTAAGGTAGAACAGAGAAGCACTGTATACACGTTTACCACGTTCCATTTTCAAATTTTCCTTGCAGCGATATTTCATGTGGACAAGAAGTTTTTCCTGTACGAGTTTATTCGGACACTGGCAACTGTGTGCCACCGGAGGCTTTCACATACATTTCCTCTTGTGACTACTCAATGTTTAAGGAAAATCGTGTTCCTAAGCGAACACTGGATTTGTTGACGGTAAGTTCTGCTGCTACTGTAGCAGTGTAGTTCTTGTATTCGTAAGTTGGCAATGCAGGGAACTTGCTTGAAGAGAAAAATGACTTCCAAAGCCTTCAGGTTAAATGCGATTGTGATGATCTAATCTGTGGCGAGCAATGTGCTTGTAGAGAAATGAACGATAGACTTACTTTCTGTACGATAATGGTGAGTGGCGTTTTGATTACTGTCTCAAAATGTATTTAGAAAGGAACGTGAGGTCCTTACTTTCTTTTCACCGTTATCTCTGTTTTATTGATAATTATATCTGTTCCATTTCCATTGAAAGAAGTTATGTAATCAGATCTTGCAAGCAGGTAGAAGGTGGAATGTGGCTGAAGACGATCCACACTTGTACGGGAAACAGGGATTAATTCTGCCTGACTAGGCACCAGTGTGAATAACGTCCAGAAAATCCTCGACCATCGCTCTCTGCTGTGCGAGAGTAGAGCCGATAGTGAATGTACGCGCGGAGAGCACAGACGGCTCGCGGGTGGCGAGAGTGAATATCCGCGCGCGAGAACGTAAAGGATCAGGCGAAAATCCTCGACGTGCCGTTGAGAGAATCCTCAAGCAATATTCACCTGGCCTGTGACTGCGCCACCGAAGTAGGTCAACCCGTCCATCGCAAAAGTTGGGTGTCCCCCAACAGGCCCACCGCGCGGCGAAGCAAGAGACGCAGACGCGGCAAAGGGACGAGTCGCAGCGCATACTGTAGCGGTTAGGCGTCAGGTTAAAGAGAGTGTACCATACTACGTCTCATATCGCACAGCACGCGCTGCAACTCGTCTCTTTGCCGCATCTGCGTCTCTTGCTTCGCCGCGCGGTGGGCCTGTTGGGGGACACCCGACAAAGTCTCAACGCATAAGGATCTCTAGCGTGTGAGAGTGTAATGCGAGAGTGAACATACGCACGGACACAGACGGCTCGCGCAAGGCGAGTGCGAATGCCGGCGCGGAGAGCGGTCAACGTCGGTCCAACGTAACGGTTGACCCTGCTTCCGACTGGTGGCAGCAGTGTCTGGGAGGATGACGGTGCAGACTTCAAACGAGGCGTCCTGCGCCGTGTGGACTGTTGACACAAAGTGATCCTGTTAATGAAATCCTCGAATGGAAATCTGATGCACCGCGCATCTAAAATAGTAGGTCTCATTGACATAAGGCCGCTAGTCGGGCAGCTAGGTCCCAAAGCCGTTTCTTCAGTCCTGAAAAATAGGAGTTCACAACCAGGGTGCGACACTGCGCAACTTAAAGCGGCCAGGCAGGACGAAGCCAAGGCTTGCCTCGTGCTGTCGTGCTGCCATCCTTACCAATCGCTACGTTGCTTGTAGTTTGCCGCTTTCGCTCTCTCTCGCAGGCGCTTCCCGCTACCCGGACTCAGGCACAACAGTAGCGGCAAAGTAAAGTATTTCCGTGGGTTTTCCTGATTTCCTCGTTGCATACTTCTTGCTCTAACGCTCTCAAAACAAAGTACAGCCAATCAGGCCTCCACACTACAACTCTTCATGCTTACACAAGTGTCCCTCGCGGTCACGAGTAGGAGTCTTGGTTCTTTTCTGTGATGCTTCGTAGGGCTTCACGCCTCACGGCTGTGAGGTTAGCAATTCGTATGGATGCGTGTGCATCAAATGGGTCTCTTGTACACATGCAAAGAGTACTAGCGCAGCCGCTACATCGCTCACCATCGACCTTGGAATGAAACCTCAACATTGATTCGAGCCTCGGACTGGCGGTTGGTTGCGCTCTCTACCTGCTCCTGAACTTCGTCTTCCTTCCTTTCCTGTAGCGGCGACAACACAGTGGAATGGTTGGGACTATAGTGGATGTTTTTATAAGAGTTGGAGTTGCTTATCGCAATCGTATAATCACATTCGGATGGTAGTATCTCAACACTGCCTCAGAACTTACAAGGGAGGTCGTTCAGGGTGTGCCAAGCTTTTTCAAAATGGTTTCTTGCATGACATTGGGGCACATATGGGGACCACAGAAGCATGGTTCGGCCTCTGAATACCAGAAAAGGGGTCCCTAGTTCGATTCCTCGTGGTGACAAATTTTTGCATTTCGAGTTGACGTTTCAAAATTCGCGCAAAATGGAGTTAGCATGAATAATTAGTACCATATTCATGATTAGGACCGTCAGTAACCCTTACAAATAGACTTTGATTGAAAAACTGGTGAAAAAGGTGTGACTAGGGACCCCCTTTTCTGGTATTCAGAGGGCCGTTCAGGAAAAATTAACCATGGTTCTGTGGTTCCCGCATGTGCCCCTATATCATGCAAAAGACCGTTTTGAAAAAGCTTGGCACACCCTGAACGACCTCCCTTGTTAGTTTATCAACTAGTTTTGTCAGGTTGGTTTCCCTCGATCCTCTCCGTTCCCCTTTTCCACCTAACGCCTCCTCTGCCATTCACGTAATGTTGATAATGCAAGTATGCGTGCTCTGAATCCGTAAAGGAGTGCTTCTTCCTATTAGCTGCCTTATCGTGCTATTTGATCATTTCATTTTGCGGATTAACAGACACTGACACATCTACCATCGACCGACACGGCGATATACCTACTGGGAAGGTGTTACACTAAGTTGGCGGTCTAAGCAAAAGATTGTGATCTGCGTTCTCTTTATTTTGTTGTCAGGGATTTTGCAAAGGGTTTCAGGCGAGTGAAAAATGAAGAAGTGAAGCTGATTTTTGACTGGATCATTTCTTTGAACTACTGAGAGTTCAGGGTGGATTAAAACATGAGCGCAAGAAGGGATGCGGCATACTGAAATGTTCACTACAGGGTGACGGACGGGTCTTTGTCAACTCGAATGCAACATTTTTTAACACACTAATTGTGGGATGCGGAAGCAAATGTGCTTGTAAAGGGCAATGTAGGAATTCCCTTCGTGCCACATCACTTCCCGCACCTTTCAGGTTAGTTTCCATCTACGTCAGATTACATAGAATGCTGAAGAGATCGTAAACGTGAGTAATCGTTTGATAATTAAGATTCGAAGTTTTTCGAAGAAGTGATAATCTCGGATTCGGACTGCGTACACTAAGCAATATACCCCAAGGTGCGAGCAAATTTTTACAACTGCATCGAGCCATTTTCAATTTTTTTGTGCACTTCTCGTGAGTTCCTTTTTGGGTAGGTTGATCTTTGCCAGCTGGGCGATGCATCGCTTTGTCGTCGCTTCTTGGTTAGAAATACTGTCGTATAAAGGTTGTTTCAGATACTTTCAGCCCTTTCATGGGCTGCAGTCTTAAGATGAATTACGAATAATCAAGCTTAAATAAGCATGAGAACATGGTTATAAGTGTGCGTTGGTAAGCCACATTGCACTGGGAGACCACCACCCGTGGGCGGGGCGTTTCTAGAAAAGCGGTGCTCAATGAAAAATCATAATCGTTAGAGAGCTACAGTCCATATCCGGGAGACAGGGTGGGAGGAGCCAAAAGACGTGATTGCGGACTACACAAATTTGATAGTTGTCGTGGTGATCAGCTGATTTGTATTCGTCGACTTCGTTGATTTCTACTATTTTCGAATATTCCGCTGCATTTTATTATTCTCTACACTATTCTACTTCACTTCTGAACAGGTAGGTCAGTATAGCAAAAAAGTTTGCTGTCATGCATGAAATTTGAACGATTTTTTTTGCAAATTCCGATATCAGAACGTGGTTTTTGCATGTTCGGTGAATTTTTTCCCTTCACTTTCATTTTTTATTCTTGCGTTGCATGCAGTTTCCATAGCAGTATCATTTACATGTTCTTTTAATTGACAAGAACATATTTTTGACACTGTTATGAAGCTTGCATTCTACGAACAACGCATTTCGCGTGGACCTGCTAATATCGTTGGTTTTTTTTTTATTATTACTTTTACCTTTTTCTTTTCGACTTGTTCTTCATTGTGGCATCTTTTATGTGTTTCTTTAATTGTGTGGAACACTATTTGATGCTGTTTTGAAGCAAGTCGTCGCTTTTGTGCGTGCACGTCTTCAGGTCGTGCTGCAGTTGTCACAGTTCCATCGGTTTCTCGGTAAGCAATTTCAAAAATGCAGCTTTTTTCAAACCTCGTTTCGAAAACGAAGCCCAATGTTCACTTCCAAAACTTTTTTATTCTGTTTAGGAATTCCTTTACCTTGCGGAGTGTTTTGGTCGCTATTTCTCACTACGGCTGTCGCAAGCTTTCGTAACACCTGTCCAAGGCACTGAAAACGCTTTTTTGACGTACTGCTTTCGTTGTACTGTTATTTCTGGGCTTGCATGAATAATCGTATCAGACTTTTCAAGCATGGTTTGATTTTCCTTTTCATATCTGGTTTACGATCATATCCTTCGACTGCATGCCTCTGTACGTTGCTGTTTCTGTGGCATACAGTTATCCATGAATAAATAATGACTAAATAGACAATGAATAATGTTTATTGGATGGTATTGGAAAAGAAAAAGTGGAAAAGAAGTGTAGTGTGTGGAAAGTGGAAAAGAAAGCTTGCACCACGTTTAAAGGGGTATTTTGGACAGGTGTTACGAAAGCTTGCGACAGCCGTAGTGAGAAATAGCGACCAAAACACTCCGCAAGGTAAAGGAATTCTTAAACAGAATAAAAAAGTTTTGGAAGTGAACATTGGGCTTGGTTTTCGAAACGAGGTTTGAAAAAAGCTGCATTTTTGAAACTTGCTTACCGAGAAACCGATGGAACTGTGACAACTGCAGCACGACCTGAAGACGTGCACGCACAAAAGCGACGACTTGCTTCAAAACAACATCAAATAGTGTTCCACACAACGACGGATCACAGTAAAGAATGATGATGATGAAGAAATGTCGAGGGAAACGGCAGAAATGAAACGAAAAAGCACTCTACGCACAGGAGATGGGCGGATTGCTGCACTACCAGGAAAACACATGCCGAAAAGTGACAAGTTGCTTCAAAACAGCATCAAATAGTGTTCCACACAATTAAAGAAACACATAAAAGATGCACAAATGAAGAACAAGTCGAAAAGAAAAAGGTAAAAGTAATAATAAAAAAAACAAACACGATATTAGCAGGTCCACGAGAAATGCGTTGTTCGTAGAATGCAAGCTTCATAACAGTGTCAAAAATATGTTCTTGTCAATTAAAAGAACATGTAAATGATACTGCTATGGAAACTGCATGCAACGCAAGAATAAAAAATGAAAGTGAAGGGAAAAAAATTCACCGAACATGCAAAAACCACGTTCTGATATCGGAATTTGCAAAAAAAATCGTTCAAATTTCATGCATGACAGCAAACTTTTTTGCTATACTGACCTACCTGTTCAGAAGTGAAGTAGAATAGTGTAGAGAATAATAAAATGCAGCGGAATATTCGAAAATAGTAGAAATCAACGAAGTCGACGAATACAAATCAGCTGATCACCACGACAACTATCAAATTTGTGTAGTCCGCAATTACGTCTTTTGGCTCCTCCCACCCTCTGTCTCCCGGATATGGACTGTCAGTGGCAGAAAAGAATTAGTGCAGGGAAGCGATGTCTAAGGTATTTCCAGCACGCATGATGTGAACGGAGGTCACCCACAATGGGCGGAGCGTGTCCGACGTTTTCTACAAGAGCTCATAAATCGGCTCTGAGATGACTTGGAAACCTGAAAACAGTGGATACAGGTTAGGAGAAGAGGAGAAGCTAAATGTCAAGGCTGGGCGTAGCTTACACCAAAGTGGGCGGAGTTTGCAACCAGCCTCATAACTCGGTTCCTAGGAGTCCACTGAGTCCGGGAGAAGGCGTTTAAGTGCTAGGGAAAGGGGTCAACCGTTGTTGGCGGGCGGAGCATGCACCAAAGTGGGCGGGGTTTGCCACGGTACTTCATAACTCGGTTCCAATAAGTTCCGGAGATGGGAAAAAGTAGAAAAAGGTTGGGGAAGAGATGATAGTCAACTGATATCAGTGGGCGACCCATGCACCAAAGTGGGCGGGGTTTGCCACAAAGCTCGATTTCGTCCCCTACAAGACCTCATAATTCTGCTCCGAGATACTTAGAGAACTGAAAAAATGTGTATAGAGGTGAGAGAGAGGAGTAGAGGTTGAATGTGAACGCTGGGCGTGGCACACCCCGAAGTGGGCGGAGTTTGCCACCACTCTCATAACTCGGTTCCTAGAAGCCCCAGCGCCCGGGAAAAAGTGGATAAGGGTTGCCGGAGGGAAAGGGGTTAAATGCTATTGGTGGGCTAAGCATGCACCAAAGTGGGCGGAGTTTGCCCTAAACTTATAATTTGGTTCCAAGAAGTCCAGGAGACCGGGAAAAAGTGGGTCGAGTCCGACAACGCAAGGGAGGCAGCTGCTATTGGTGGGCGGGGCATGACCAAAGTGGGCGGAGTTTGCGACGAAAATTCATAACTCGGTTCCAAGAAGTCCCGGAGACCGGGAAAAAGGTGGATAGAGGTGGGTGAAGGAGTGGAGCCCAACTGCTGTCGGTGGGCGGGGCATTTCCAAAAAAAGTGGGCGGAGTTCTCCACGAAAATTTGTAACTCGGCTCCAAGAAGTCCCGGAGACCGGGAAAAAGGTGGATAGAGGTGGGTGAAGGAGTGGAGCCCAACTGCTGTTGGTGGGCGGGGCATTTCCAAAGTGGGCGGAGTTCTCCACAAAACTTTGTGACTCGGCTGCAAGAAGTCCTGGAGACCGGGAGAGAAGTGGGCGAAGGAAAGGAAGTGAATTTCTAATGGTGTGCGGAGGATACACCAAAAAAGCAGGATTCGCCGCCAAAATTATAAATCGGCTCAGAGATAGTTCAGAGATCGGGTAAAAAGTGGGAAGAGGTTGGCGAGGAAGAAAAAGATAGGTGGGACATGCAAAGAAATAGGCGGAGTTTACCACGAGGTTCATAAATCGGTCCGGAGGCAGTCCGAGGCCGGGAAAAACGGACAATTGGTGGAGGAAGGAGGGAAGGTCAAAAGCCATCGGTGGATGAAGCATGGGGCAATCGGATAGAATTCAGCTTGAAAGTCAAATATTCGAATCACCGCATCTTCGCCGCAGAACTGTGCTGTGCGGCGCCAACTGGTAGCTAATAACGAGCCATAGGCTGTCAATAAAGTGGTACTGGAACAAAAAAAACTTGAAATTCCAATAATGCATCAACCTCAAGCGATTTGATTCCTGCAGCATGATAGAGAATATTTTTAATAATGAATTTTTCTTTCAGGCTGTGCTGTTGTTGAATTCTGTGGCGAAATTCTCAGGGTCAGTGTGTTTATGTGCCACCGGAGTATCAATAAGATTTGTTGCAGTGGTGAACATATTTCAGAGCAAAGTGTTGAGCAGTAGAGGGGCGGAATCGTTGGACTACTCTTTCTGTCTACACTCATCTGAAGAGTCAGAGATTTATGAGAGGCTCGCATCAGCCAAGAATACAAAGGTGTGTGAATTCGATTCACTTGCCTCGTTCACCATTGTGGTAGTAGCATCTTCTGTTTTGTTAAGTTGCTACTGTGCTGATAAAATTATTGTTTACAGAGCGAAGTGTTTGCTATTTTGAATCATACGACATATATTGATCCCACAAGAAAGGGCAACATTGCACGCTTTATCTCTCACGGCTGTCTACCAAATCTTGTGATGTTACGGTATGTCCTAATCTTTGGATCCAAAATTTTGAGAAAAAAAGTCAGAATTTTCGAATCAATCTCATGGAGTTGGTGCCATATCGAATTGAGTGCATTGCAGTGCATATTCACTCCCAACAGTGGGTTGCCAGTACCTGCCGATATAACATTTAGGGCTTTTGTTTTATCATGAACACTGTTATAAACATGCATCGTGTGGGATGTAGTGTGATGCGCTGAAGTGGATCTCATTTCGCAGAGAGCGATGTGGCACCATGAACCACTACGTTGCATTCACTCGAGAAAGAGGATCTTAAAAATGGACAATAAGACCATTGAGGGTAGGAAACTCAATGTAAATGAATGAGCTAATGCGTGAGGTGACTGTTATGTGGCAGAATTCCGGACCTGTACAAAGGTGAAACGATGGGAAGATAGTAGATTATGGTCCGGCTGCAGTGGTCAGTAGATTGGTTTGGATTTTACATATATCCTGATGATTTCAACGGTAAACTTCCATCATCATACCATCCTTCATTTGCCTTTAGGTACGCCGAGAACGATTTGCGTCTCCATCACTCTCGAGCGATCTTGTTTGCAGCTCAACCTATTCTTGCCGGAACAGAGGTAATCATCAAAAGTAATCTTTTGATAGGTCATTGAAATTTCTTTTTTTTATAGAGACGCAGATTGTTTTCATTCATATGCTCATATTTCTTGAATGATTTCATTTAGCTATTTTTCGATTATGGGAATAACTATTTGAACCGAGCAGGATTCAAGTGTGAGTGTCGAACAATGTGGTGTGACAGCGTAGCGACACGTTGGCGCTCTACGGATCCCACTCATGAAGAGGTTTTTTTTACCGTTCATCTTGCTTTCAGGAATTCCCACATCTCGCAGATAATAAGCTGAAAGTGGTGCTCATTGTCTGATGAAAAGCACTACCAAACTCAAGAACACCTCGTGCAGTCTCCATGTCGTCCTTTGTTGAAACCTCGGCATTTGATGTTGAGTGTACTGCAATTGTTTTTGTACTGTATGCCAAACGAGGTTTTTAAGATGGAATCTTTATTTACTGGCCTTACGTTTCGACCGCTTCGTCTTCTTCAGAGGCCTGGAGATTGTCCAAGATTCCACCGATGCGGAGCAGTAGCTCACGCCCTGTGTTAGTTGACGTCAATGAGGCAAATGCCAGGCCTCTGAAGAAGACGAAGCGGTCGAAACGTAAGGCCAGTAAATAAAGATTCCATCTTAAAAACCTCGTTGTGGCGTACAGTACAAAAACAATTGCAGTACCTCGTGCAGTGTTTATAGAAACATGAGTCAACATAGCTTGGGTGGTGTGGCGGAACCGTCGGGGGAAGGGTATCCTTCTTCCCCGAGACCGCCCTCCAGGTCCCGTTCCCGGTGCGACGATCGGGGTTCCGTATCCTCCTTCCTTAAACTAGAGGAGGTCTATCACAAGCGGGTCATCCCGGGATCCGTGCCGTTTCCCCCACAGCACGGGCGCCAATCCCCGAGGCATCTACACGATAGCTCAAATAACTAACACACAATGCAAGATGCGTTTGGATCGTATAGCGCTCAAGTCGGGCCCCTCGCCCTGACGTTCCCTGACCACTAGTTCCACGCATGATAATACGACACATTGTAAATACTCACATTTATTATGGCTTCGTCCTAAACATCCTGACGTCCTACTCCCATGTCCTACCGTGCGCGACCGCACGGCAAGCAATGCGCCATGCAAGTTGCTTCTTAGCGCACTTCATGTGTCGCTTTTAGCCTTGGGACATAGCCGAGGTACCCCCCCCTCACGAGAGGAAGTTACGCTAATCGCAGAGGCGAACCGATAGACCGACTGCTCGGCTGGTGGCGGACATACGCTTGAGGCACGCTCCAGGGCCGTGTCATCACAAGTCCGAAGGTCTTCGGGGATAATATCCTGAAGGCGTATGCAACAGCCCGATAGTTTTGGGGATATATCCCGAAACTTCGGGGCTTGTTGCATACGGCCCCAGGGCCGCGCGTGCCCAACGCAAATGGCCATGGAGCGAGACAGAGCCCAGGCGTGCAGCGCGTGCCCGGACGACAGTCGCGTACCGCGACAGGTGGTAGAGAGATAAACAGTGGCGTTTTTTTGATCATTTCCCTTGCGCTGCGTCTACTCATTAACGAATTTCAGTGAGCATTCTTCGGACATTGAATGTTTTTTGTCAAACACATCTGACTGTTGGTATCAGTTGTCGATGAGCGGTATGTGCCAGTGAGTCCAAATTCCCAGTGCACAAATAAAGCAGAAGAACGCGGAATCATTTCGGAATCACGGGGCCTTTTCATAAATACTTGTTCTTATCTAGAGACACATAAAGGGTTCGAATGGCATGTGTTATTTTGTCGAAAATCAGACAAGAAAAGCCATGAGGAACGTTTTTGGATAGGAAGCAACAAGCACCCCGAAAACCCTTAAATTTTTCTTTGTGAGCTTGGCTGTAGTGTGACGGAGAGAGAACTTGAAAAACTGGAAAAAACGCGAGAGTGCCACGTCGTGCGCGAGAGCGCGCCGACGCCATGCATGTCGCGGTTGATTAAGGGTGACGCGGTTGCTTGAAGGCAGCGATTACGATAGATCTCAAAGGGGTTTAGAGGGGACGTGGGGTCTCAATAGTACGCCAATGGCGAAAAAAGCAAAGAAATCCGTCAAAAATAAGCAAAATAGTACCCCTTTGATTGCCCTTTCATTTTCGACCATGGATGAGCGACGGTAAAGAACGACGTTGTTCGGACGTGTTAACCCCGATAGCCGCCATCATGCCAACAAGCATAGTGTTTTGATTGATAAGGCATTACATGGGCAAGTTGGAAGATACAGCCGCTAAAAGGGAAATGATCTCCCAAAATGAAAAGCCAACAGCAACAGCTCGCCCAAGTCATCTGAACAAGTGGGCGTAACGCTGCTGGGGCGGAGTGCTGCGGAGGTCCTGCTCAGCAACCACAGCACCTTTCGCCGTGGAAGCGCCACACATCGCTTCCTTGGCAGCCAAGTAATTGCTCCGTGTGGCGCAGGTTCTCCCCCGATGCGAAAATTCCTTATCGTAATCGCTTCCTTTAAGTGGGGGCATTCACTTCCCTCGTCCCGCCCTTTTATGTCGCGGCGGTTTGATTAGGGGTCCTGCTTCTCACTCATGAAGAGAGTTTTCCTGAGGATCCAACCGCAACCCATGCCTTCAAATGCTAATCACTCATAGAGTGGCTGGTCAAGGCAAGCCTAGGTGGAAGTCAGTGTCTTCTCAGGCGAATCTGGCCCGATTGACCTACTCCAAGGCACCTGTTTCAGGTCATAATCAAGCTTCAATCTGAACCGAAGTGTGCGTATGCTAAGCTGCGCATTTAACAGCCACACCACCTCCTTTCAGTGTGTGGAGCCCTATTTACGAGGAACTGCGTGTGTTAGCACTCGCATCAATGCTGTTAATGCATTAATGCTTAAAATATGCAGTAATATATGCAATTAATGAAATTGAGGGCATGACGAAATTATAATAAATTGTAATGTAAATCGAAATGAAAACAAACCTTTTTCATTTATGGCTATCTTTTTGCATTTCTACACTCTTCCATGCATTTCATCCGATAAGTGACCTTCTCAAGGAGAGATACTAACTGTACAGGGGAGTGGAGAGGGGAGCAAAAAGTCACTTTGCCCACGGCTCGCATTAATAAATTTTTAGTTGCGCAGGGTGCCGCTGTTTAGAAGTCTTATAACAACGTATTCTCAGGTGTTCCCCCAAATTCAAAAGCAGAAACTGCTTTATTGCCTCTACCATCCCCAGAATGTGACGTCATCTGCCATGACAGTAGACCTAAGGAACCATGGAAGAACTCACCGGCGGCGCGGACGCGTTCGCGTGTTGGTGACGTCACAACGGCGGCGAGGGAGCGAGCAAGGGCCAGCTTTGCCACCATTACTTCAATACATTAAGTACTCCGAGCATCTATCGTGCTCTTACTTCACTGTGTGATAAGTAGAAGTAAGCGGGAATCGAACACGAAGAACACTCACTTTATTCGAGTTATTGACAGTGTTCTCCTAAGGGTTCCCCTCATGAAAGCCTCAACTTCCTCTATCTCTTCAAAAATTACAATTCCTAGGGCAAGGAGCTGCCTGAACATGACACAGGCATTACGTCAGCGGCACAAATGACTGAGCAAATTGGTATAGTGCCAGAATTCCTAATCTGTCGCAGCTGCGACATCACTTGGCATCACTTGCACGCGCTCGCGTCCGCGCCGCCTGTGAGCTTTTCTCTCCTCCCACATAAATTCTTCAGTCAGTTAGATGTTGGAGGGCTTCTTGAATCACAGTTCCAACTATGCAAGACCCTCCCGATCAGCATTTGGGATGACGTCATAATGGGCCACGATCAGTCGGAATCTCTTTAGTTCGAAAGTGCACCATGCCCCCGTGGGGAAATCTGCGGATGGCGTCGGTGTAGAAGGCCATTATGAAGACTTCTATCAGGAATGGAAAGCGCTCTTCAATATACAGTCGGGCGCATTCGAATTTAGCAAAGTGTGAATATTCCGTTCTAAATGTGTAGAGAGAATAAGTTCTTTTGCACCCCCTCCCCCGTATATTTGCCTACAGCTATTTGCAATTTTTTTCCAAGTGACAAAATTTCAGATAATGCGGAAGTCTCTGGAGTATTTTGCCTATTTGAAGCAACGTATGAAAGTTTACGACTTGAAAGCAAAGCAATATCTCCGGAGCGAAGGCATAGTTCGTCCTGAGTACGGTAAGGAACTACTCTCCCCTGTAAACGACGAGCTTATTATGGAAATCAGTTTAAAGTGCTTTTGTTTGTCTGTTCGCCTTTCTATCTTTCATGAAATTCATCACCACCTGAAAAATCACCTGGAGACATCGAGTGGGGCGTTGGCCATAGCGCGAAATACGCATTGCTAAGTGGAACCTTGCACCGAAGTGAGCGGCAAAAACTCCTGATTTGGTTCCAAAATAGTCTATATGCTATGAAAATGGGCAAAGGTGTGCACAATGTCATCCTCGCGATTGGAGAAGGGGCGGGGTTTGCAGAAAAAGGACAAAAACCAGTAATGATGGAGAAGTCAGTGGTGGGTGAAATGTGCACAGATCTGAGCGGAATTAGCCATAAAAACTTTTAAGTCGATCACGGGACGGCTCATGGACTTGGATAAAAATGGGACTAGCAAAGGTCAACCGTCATTGGTTGGTGGACGTGCACCTTTGAGGAGCCCTGGGATAAAGTGGATTGAGGCTAGCAGAATGGTGGAGATCAAGCGGTAATGGTGGGTGGGGTCTGCACCAAGGCAGGGGAGGGCGGATCTTCACACAAAACCGAGAATCTGGTTTCGAGAAACTCAAAGACCGAAAAGTGTTTCGAGATTGGCGATAAGGCAAAGCTTGAGCGTTAATGGCGGCTCAGGTGTGTACCGAAGTAAGCGGAGTTTACCACAAAACCTTTCATGACAGCACGAAAAAATGTGGATCGATGCTGGCGAGGAAGAGAAAATCAGATGCGGTGGTGGGCAGAACACGCACAAAACTAGGCTTCGTTTTGCCATGAAACTCTTGAGCATACCACGATCTAGTCCTGAGACCAGAGATCGAGAAATCGTGGATAAAGGCTGGCGAGAGCTCTCGCGCTACACATTTCACAGCGATGGCGGGAGTTGTTGTAAGTAGAAGTCTGGCTGCCTCCCTTTATTCTGCAAGAATTCTCTTATTCCCAGCGATAGTTTCGTGACGAGCCCGACCTAATCGGTACCTTATGTAGTAGAAAGTAATTCCCAAAAACCTGTCGAGTTGGAATTCCCAGTGCCCAAAGCAGACCAATCACTTGCCTCTGTCTGCATTCTCCGCATGATGTGCTAAGTTTTCTTAAAAACTAAATTTTTTTTTTTTTTGAATTTTCACAGAAAAGGATTGTGGTGAAGCAAAATACTACAAAATATTAGAAGAAGACTTTCAGACGACCTCGACGAACCACTCATAGGCATTCAGTCCAGTCTTTCAAGGTACGCAGTTTTCTTTTGGGTGTATTTCTTCCTTCATTTGTAATTTTCAGAATTGATCCAGCATGTGTTCACAAACGTAATGGAGAAAATGTAAGTTATTTTTTATTTGAATATTTCTCGGTAGACTTTTGTCCTCTTCATCCAGCTTTCACTGCAATGTCTGCATTTTAGGAACCTGTGATATGTTATAACCTTTACTGCCGCAGCCTCTCGAAGTGCACCTGTAAACCGCTTGTCAGGGTTATACCTACAATAACCCTTGATTAGTTTTCCATGTTATGATGAAGTGCTATGCTGATTTGGCTACACCTCTTGATTTATGAGGACCCAGCATAGAAGCTGCTCATTTGGAATGGCCAAAACGGGCAAAAAATGCTCATGAGATTCTTTTAGGAACCTATAAATAATGTTCACTGTTAACATTACATGCCTTTCAAGGAGTGAAGTCAGAGTTGTTTCAAATAATTAACTGCTTCTTACCACTTTTAATAGATCCACTTTTCTTTTAGGCATCTTTGTTTTTTTTCCGTTTAGAATGGGAATTGTTCTCATCATGTTTCTCTTCGAAGTGTTCCGTATTTAGGTCTCCCTTATACTGAAACGGAAACAAGACAAAACTACTTTTTTGATTAGGAGTTGGTTGAAACGAGTTGAAAATCGCCAAAGTGCTCTGCAGAGAAGTTCAAATGGAAGCATAAAGCATTTGACGTTTATCATTCCTTTTTGGGATGACCCACACTTCTTCCAATCATTATCGTGGTGGCAAGGGCGAGCCGATGCAGAATTTCGTGGTTTTATCCTCCCAGACAATTGTGGTACCAATTGATCGACACGAAGGGATAGAAAACTCAGTCGGTCGGACGATTTGATTTGGCTGATTTGACCCAGGATTCGATCCCCGGACCGCGGACTGTGGGGCGGAAGACGTACGTTTCTCCTCCTGGGATCAGGTCATCATTGAAGCTTAAGGTTAAGTTTGGGTTTAGACTTAGGTTAAGGCTTATGCTTACACATTGGCTTATGCCTAAGCCTATGATTGGGCCTAGGCTTAGTCCTAAGCTTGCTCCGAGCGAATGAACGGCGTCTCAATTTAGGTGACCTGACCCAGGAGGAGAAACGCACGTCTTCCGCCCCACAGTAGTACTCAATGGACGTAATATGTATTAGGGGTTGGCAATAGAAACAGTAATACAGTATGAAGGCAGCCAGATTTCACAGTGAACTGTTTTTCTGAGCTGGAGGCCGCCTAAGAAGAAAAGCATGATTGAATGAATTTTCATATCTTGCCATCCATTGGTGGCTGTGTCCTGTGAAGGGGTGTTCATTGACCATCTAATCCCAACCCGTGTCTTCAAAACGTGGGATCACCCAATGTGCACGTTCACTACAATCAGTAGCCTGTGGTCAAAGGAAGCAAGATCGTCCTTTATGCGGCCGAAAATACGGCGCCGAACTCCTTGTATGATCCGCATTGTTTTGCTCACTAGTGTTGCCACTACATAGCAGCGCCGTTCGATCTTATTCTGGAAGGGCTTTCACTTAGAGCGGTTGTATCCTCCAACTTTTTTGTGCAATGGGTTACTATTCAATACATGGTGCTTGTTGACGTGATGGTGTCCATCTTGTCAACAAGTGCAAACGACCCCTTGGTTGTTGGCTCGTTCAATGGCGGAGGTCAGCCAGCAGACAAAGAGGTTCCATTTTGCATCCCTTCAACGGAATTTTTCTGCTTTTTTCATTACTGGCGCATTCAGCATCCCCTCCTCCCTCCCACTATAGGTTCAACCAAGTCCTATCGCACTTCCTTGCTTAGAGGAAAATTGAAAAGCTACCACCCAAAACACTGAAGATTAGGGCTTGCATCTTGTGACTTTGGTTTAGTTCACAAAAATCAATGCTGCCATGATCTGAGGACAGACTATAGAGCAGAAAGGATGAGCGCGACGCAGACATAGCCGGACACGTAACCACTCGTCGCCAGAAATAATTGCAGCCATGTGAAAAAGTCCTTTCGCCCCTGGCGTGGTTTCCGAGCCTCGAAAAGGCAAGGTCTGCGTTGAGGACTTCCACCGGCTTCTTCGTGGGAACTACCCTCAAAAGTCCCCAAGGAAATCTATTTATTCAACTGTTCTTCGGCCTGATGAAGCTTTTTTGCACGAATCAAGGTGGGATTCGACAATGTGTCTTGCCGCAAACCACCGGTACCCTATTTCGATCTAGGAAGACAACAACTTGCGAAAATATATTGCTTTCCAACTCATCGAGGACCGCCTTTGTGCGTGTATTGCAGCGGTTTTTTTCGTATTCTCTCATGAATTTTTTTCGCACTAGGCACATAGGAACTCCTCGTGAGCTTTACAACAACTTTCGAACAGAATTTCACCAGTCTACAAGGAGGTTGTTATTGACATGGAAGGGTTCGGTAAGGTTATCTCAAACTCTCCAGCGCCGCTCTTGAGAACGTCAGTGGAAATGGAAAGACACGGGAGTGGAGGTTTATAGCCGGAACTACACCATCTTCGTTTTGCTGACGACATCGTTCTTATAACGCCGAACATCGAGCAAGCGGAGCGAATGCTGGCTGATTTCGACTGCGCCTGTGGTAAGGTCGGTCTGCAGCTGAACCTAACGAAGACGATGTTTATGAGAAACGGATTGGTTCCTGATGCCCCATTCACGCTCAACGGAACGAACATCACCGAATGCTCCAGCTACGTGTACCTAGGTCGGGAAATCAATATGATGAACGATCTAGCTCCAGAGCTGAGCAGGAGGAAACGAGCGGCATGGGGAGCGTTTAAGAACATCGAGGGAGTAGTGAAGAAGACGAAGAACATCCGGCTCCGTGCCCACCTCTTCGATTCCGCTGTCCTTCCTGCCCTAACCTACGCCTCAGAGACTTGGACTCTGCGCAGGCAGGACGAGCATGCGGTCAGCGTTATCCAACGCGCTGTCGAGAGGACGATGCTAGGAGTAACCCTATACACGCAAGTGCAGAGGGGAATCCGGAGTTCCGAACTACGCCAACGGTCGAAGATCAGGGAATCTGTCGTTTTCGCTGGGGGATCGAAGATGCGGGCGATTTTGTGTTGACCGTTGGACCGGAGCGGTTACCGACTGGATCCATCGGGACGTCAAACGATCACTGGCCCAATGGTCCGACAATCAGCGGTACGACAAGTGATACTGTGTTTTTCTTATCGAATCATCAAATGGATGCTCCAGGATCACATTGGTGTGACTGTTGCACACGAAGGCAATGTATCAGTGCGAAAT